TGCTTCTGTTGAAGAGCTTACCAATGGGCTGCTATTTCAACATTTACAGTTTTGGGTCTGGATATGAACACATCTTCCCGTGAGTCTCTCCCTCATATCGGTCACCCCAAGAAAGGGCCTTCTGTCTTTAATATCTGAATGGATGTTTTGGTCATGTGTTTATGTGATGGCAGTAAGAGTGTGGAGTACAGCCAGCAGACCATGGAGGAGGCTCTGAAGAAAGTTGAGCAGATGGAGGCTAATCTTGGAGGAACTGAGATCCTGCAGCCCCTCAAACATATTTACAGCCAGCCCTGCATTCCCAATCAGCCAAGACAGGTAACACACACAGTCTGACACTTTCCTGGTTATGGCTCATGTTGGGGATGATCTGCTCATAATAATGTTGGTGGTTCAATCACTGGCTGCACACCAGTGTGTTCTTGAGCCCCAATGCACATGATGCAGAGTGAGTATGTGTGCGAGTAAATGCTTGATAGAAAGTGCTTGGATATAGAAAAAGATCCTGGAGCCCTTCAAACGTACTTACAACCAGCCCTGCATTCCCAGTCAGCTTAGACAGGTAACACAGACACTGGCTTACATTCATTTACTGGAGACTTTAGAAACGTTAGCTAGAGAAAAGTGCTTTGACATAGAACAAAGTGCTTGTATTCACCCATTTTTGTGACTATGTGAAAGAGACCTGTTGTATGAAGAGTTAAGTTCTCAAGCAGAGTAGAAAAATCACTTTAAAAAAAAGCACACTTCTCCATGCCTGCTTCATGCCCTGGGGGATGGGGCTATGGCTCCCTACACCCTCTAGCAGATCGTTACATGGAGAAACCTTTTGAACACAAGTGCGCCCACAGGTGTGCACACGGGTGTTCACTGTTCACAGACACAAGCTACACCTTTCTTGGCTGCTACCTCAAAGCACATTGTGCGCTGTCGGTCCTGCGTGTTGCACAACAACATTCAATATTTAGTATTTACTGTTATTTACACTTAGCTAGACTAAAGCGATGGTGTTGTGTTTATTATGTTGCGCTCTCTCTCTTTTTTTTCTTTCTTTTTTTCTCTCAACAGGTGATCCAGGAGATTTTTCTTTTTTAAGTGCCCTTTCTCACTGTCCCTCTTCCCCTCTGTTTTTCTTTTCCTTC